CCCGGGGCGGCCCGTCCCCGCGGGGGCGGTGGCCTGTGTCGACATTGACCCGCCGATAAAAACACCGCAAGTCCCGGTTCACCCTGAGATAGAATAGATTTATTAGCAAGAGGTAATCAGGAAACATATATTTTTACAAAAAATGGAAATATTTTTCCAAACAAGCTGTAAGTTGAAATAGTTTTAGGGCTTGAAAGAGAATTCTCATACCACGAGGTATTGCTTACAGCAAAAGTGTTCTGGTTGTTAGAGTGGAGCATGCCTGCCACTGTAAAGTTAAACTGTGTTTATATACTGTACAATGTAAAAAATACATGGTAATATTCACAGAATAAGCACTACATTACTATATTCCTGCTAGAAGGTGGTTAGACAGGATTACAGTATATGTAATAAAAACACTCGGTCATCTTTTTCTAATTCTACATCATGTTACTCATAGTGGTCACAAGGTATACGGATCTATAGCATATCAACAGAAGCTTGTCATGAGCCGTACGCAGCGAGGAGAGTCAAAGGGACGTTTCCATCTTCCCGACGTAGGAGGGACCGGGGGCAGCGGCCGAGAGGCCCCCCGGCGCCGGGCCAGCGCGGGGGGTGGCACACAGAGAGAGGGCAGCTTCGCACAGAGGGATGAACTTTAACGTGTTCCCTTCCCTCGCCTTACAGAGTTTGCCCAGGGATGTTACTGCCGGAACCGTCTGAGCAAGAGCCCCCCCGTGCTGCCCGAGAGCCCCGTGGGAACACAGGGGTTCACCTGCCCGACCGCCAGCCCCCTCAAGAAGAACAAATGACAAAAATAACATCATTGAAAAGAAACCGGGACTCCAGCAAAGTGTCGATGCATGAAACCTTAAACGATGCAGGAAATCCTATGCGAGGTCTACTGCGGCCTAAGAACGAGGGGGGTGGTTTGCTTGGAGAAGCACATACGTGGAAGTCACTCCAGGGCATCCACCAGAAACAAACAGATATATACAGTATGGTATAGCGTGTGTACACGAGCAGCCGCCAGCCACTGCTCCGGGCTCAAGAAGGCAGTTTGGGCTCTATTCGCAGAGAAGCTTCGTAAAGGGTTTCTTCGTCCATCACAAACGACTGGTCCAGCAGGTACTGCGTCACCTGGAAAAATGAGAGCCAAACCGTTAACAGGGAGGACTCACCTCTGCTGCAGCTGACGATAAATGCTGAAATTAGGAAATGATAAAAGCTGGAGCAGTAAACAACGAGTCGCAGAGAAGTGCCTGCAGTTCCTGCCAACTGACACAAGCATTGCACGTGCTTATCTCATCCCAGGATTGCAAAGTCTTGCCTAGTCCTCAGCTGCTCTTCTGCTTTTCATGCTTAGTTTTCCTCTCTGGTACTATTTTATCAGCCACAAAGTTCTCTCCTGTGGAGAACACAAAATCCTGGTAATTAA